GTATTAACCTAAGCCTAGAATTTAGCTCTAGTGACCTACTTATAACTTCAACCCCACAGTTAAGTCATGGCAGTATCCCCGACACAATTAAGTTATTATAGCCCTTTTCTATGAATGTCTTTATCAATACCCTGCACTTAATTATCTTTCCCGACCTACCATTACCTACATTACACAGGCATGGAAATTTAATCTTCATCAAAGTTGTTTTGGTTTTAATAAGGGATTTTCTGCAATTCAGCTACACAGATTTTGAATATAATATTAATTTTTTCTATCACATAAGGATTTTTTTTTACAAATTGGAAAGAACAAAAAATTACTTAGATCAAATTATTATTTTGTTTACCACAATGAAAATTTTTTATTATTATGTTTGTTAATGAAAATACAAATAAACAGAAGAAAAGGAAAGAGCAATGATGTCAAACAAATATGCATCCTCGTTCATCCTGATTTCTTTTGTGAAATCTAAGTCTTTTAAGTCTCAGAACTAGGTGTTGATGTCTTTCTTTTGCGTATTGTGTCTGGAGCATCTCGTTTCAACGACCAGCAGTAATCAGCCATAATACCTCCTCTCCATTTCTCTGATGTCTTGATGAAACCTTTCTTGATGTTTCAGGTTGAAAACAATCCGTATCATCATTACTATTGACATCATGTTCAGAATCAGATGAAACTGTATCAAGAGTCTCTGGTGGAGTAGATACAGGTATATCAGGACCATGAGCAACAGGTCTTATAGCAGATTGAAGGTTTGGATAAGAAATTTCATTTTTATTTCTAGTGTTGTAGCCTTGCACGTTACATGAGCAAAAATAGCAGTCATCACCATGGTTTCTAGACTCCCACCAGACCTTTGGAATTCAAAAAGACAAAGACTTTTTCTTACCTTTAATCCATTGTCTAAACTCTTTGATGCAAATGGTGCAAACTTTCTGCGGAGCCCACGATTTGTCTTAGTTCCCAAGTTTTATTACAAAATACATGTAATATGCTTTTTTGACAAATTCTGTAATGTTTTGCTTTTATTTCTTTACAACAAATTGACTACAAGTATAACAGAATATGTTTGGGTCATTTACACAACCTTTTGTGTCCATAGCAATGAATAAATCATATTGAAAAGAAAAAAATTCAAAGTGCATGCACAAACAAATAGTATCCAGAAATGACACGTCATGTGGCCCGTTAACCGTTTATATACTAGCAGTGTGTTTCTCATGGGTTCTAGAATGATTGATAAGACTCACATCACAATAGGTCTGGAGAAATCTATATCCAGTGGTTGACAACATTATAAACATAACAAAACATGACACAATTTCAAAGAAAATGATTCACTTATGTAAAAGTACACATGATGATTTGTGAAAAATCTGTATGTGATAGAGGAAAATGGATATCATTTTCGGATTGAGCGTACAGGAGTTACTGTAAAACATGTAAAAATATCAAGACAATAAAACCATCACAGGCCTGTGTTATTAGCCCCTGCATCACTATTACCACTCTTTACTATATATATATATATGGCAGATTTTGTTAAACAAGACCGATGTCTGTAGGTTTACTTTCTTCTTGAGAAGAATTCTAAGAAGAAAGTAAACCTACAGA